AATACTAGGATGCAGAGGCTCTGCATTTGCATCTGCAATTTGCATTTTGCAAGATTACATGTTTATCCAGGCTTACATTTCTGTGCAACTAACAAGACTCTCGACCTACCGTTCACATTTATTACATTGCCGAAGCGTACCCCCTTAACTGCATTAACAAAAGTTATCCGCTGAAATGTCGCTCAATTCCACTGCGTGAACAGCTCTAGTTGTGAATTCTATCCTTGACGTCTTTACTTCTCGATGCAGACGTGCCACAGGGCAACACGATTCCAGTAGCAAATGGACCTCAAGTTCCAATACACAAAGGAACCAAAATGGTTCTGTTCAGTCACGTAGCTATGAAGAAGAGTTTTATTTTAATGCAAGTGCGTGGCTGGAGCTGAGCATGGCCTGGCTCTACCACGAGGTTTGTAAGGGGACCTCCAGACATCTGCGAAAAGAGAAGCCAATGAATTTGTGACCTCACCTAAATGTTGACGTGCATAATACTTAGCAAGTGTGCTTAATAAGTATTGAACGTTCAATACTTAATAACTACACTACAATGCGATGCTAGCGAGTAATATTCCCTTGTTTAATGAAACATTGAATTGCACACACGTTGCGAAAAATATTTTCAAAAAGAATATCAGCGGGCTCTTACAGGTGAACACAAAACAACGCATCTCAATTGGTGATCAAAATGTCAAGGACATCACTACACGAGTTCGTTTTACAGTTAAATATTTCGTTTAAAAATGTTCCAACATTACATATAGCAACCCAGTTGTTACCTCACTGCACTTGATATAATTCAACGTACAGAGAAGTCGGTGACTGACGATCCAGCACTCACCGATTCACTCCAGTCACTCGCTCACCGGCTGTACCCTCCACCTGAACAGCCAACACCTTCGCAAGTCAGTCCTGGCCTTGTCTACCAGGACGGATGGGAAAGGTGTGCGGAAAATGCATGCACCAGAAGACTTGGCACAGCACTGGCCTACCTCAACTGCAGTGAGTTCTAACCGGAGCACGTGCTTCATGGGAAGCGCTGTCCCGATATGCGTGGCCCGTTTGTATGTAACAAAACAAAAACCCACCACGTCCCTTGTACACAGGGAAAAGCAGACAGCACCAGCTGTTATTCTGAATATAAATCAGCATCTATTTTACTGGCCATTATAACCTTTAGAAAAAAGTCATTTTTTTTGCTGAAAAATAATTGACAAAATCGTTAAGTCACAAACCACAATATATTACAGCACGTCATAGACACCAAATTGATATATACATTTGCACATTTAGTTTTGTACTTTTGTCATATGGGATGTTTTGTATGCGATTATGGTGACTTATGTTTGATAGAGCGGACGTCTCACGCGACAAGTGAATTGTATCACATCTCATCTCAACACACGTGAAGGGGCACCCCTCGTGGCAGCTGTCCACGTGCGACACACAAGGTGGTTTACCGAATTAGCACATAATAGCCTACTAATTTAGAATGACTCTTGCTTTTTAACATCCACTGTGAAGTAAATGGTGCGTAGTATTTAATGGATAACACAGCCACACTGTCAACCTGGGCAGCCCGTCAGATTTGAACCGCAAACCTCTGCATGTCTTCAATGTATGAACTCCGAGCTATTACAACCTTTAATTAACTCTTAACTATTACAACCTAAAGACAGAACCGCTTGTTCTCGGCCACGTGCGCTTGTTAGAACAAAAAAAAGGATCGCCCGGTGTGTACCAATGTGTTGACGCTGCACATTATTCTAATCGGTTAGATGTGCGTAGTCTGTGAAAATTAAATGCTGTGTATTTTGTGTTGATGTTGCGCGTGTTGTGAACGCAAACACAGAAACTCTCGCGATAATTAATATATATACGTCAAGACATTTTTAAAGTCAGAAAACACTACGTCCAAAAACGGTTCGTATGAACAGAAATACTGTACATTATCCGATAAACACGCACAACCACTGGCCGTCTGGAACGCTCTTCCTTCCAATATTAGGAAGCCACTTGAGCTATGCAATTTAAATCGAGATTGAAAACTCATTTGTTAGAACTGTTTTTGTTTTTAGTTTGTTGTCCTTCCCCCACACCTTCGATTAGCACGATTAGCTATGCAATAGACGTTCAACGTACATATTATATATATGTGCTCTGCGAACAAGCAGTTCAATCCGGAAAGTGAACAATTGGCACAGAGTTTACACAGGCAGCAGAACAGATGCCCGAAGAAAAATCATTTGTGACTTCAAGTGCCAACATTTAACCCTTTGCCATTCCGATGAAGTACGTGTACAACATCAGTTTTTATTCCGGCTAAAACAAAATAACTTCATCCCTACCGAGGCTCCCACAATGCCATGCAGTAGGACGTGCCACAGTTTGACGCCAGCTATCATATAGCATGGTCGTGTCGCTACAGTTATATGCGATTACAATAATAATTCAAATTTATAACGCACATTCCATGCTGGGATACCAATGCTTTACAAACGGCGCCTATGCCTCTCTAAATAAAATTTACGAGATCCGCTTGCGCATTCCGGGATTCAGCGGTGACCACCCTGCAAATTGCAGACGTCTCGCAACGGGAAAGGGTTGACGTGACAGGGCAGCTCAACGTTGCTGAACGGAGTCCCTAACACAATGACAAGAGTTTGGGGTTGGCGCCCCACCCCCTCCGTCTGTGCTTGAGGCAGACAGTGCAAAACTTGGCATGTGTTAGGGTGACAGGATTTTATTTGCACCGACCTCTGGTTTTTATAGACAGAGTCTGAGAAATGTCCCGATTTGGTCAATGGAAAAAGGTGGCAACTTCAACCCGCAATAGTAATATTACAATCTGTACCACTGATTCTGCACTTTGAAAAGATAACTGGCCAGTAATTTGAAGAGCTTGGGGACACTTAATGACTTCTCTTTTAACGGGGGGGCCTGGAGTATTTTATTTATTTAAACATTTATCAAAATATTTGCGAAGGTGTTCCATGGTCACAACGTCTAAACAATGTTAGCATATGCGACTTATTCTGCTAAAATTGTTAAGGATAATTTGTAAACATCAGTGTTATCATTTTGAGTCCCACACAAGCTTGCGGGTCCTTACGACTGCAGCGATATCCCTATTTGGAAGAGGCCGTGTCCCAGCACTGGCCAATAAACTCTTTACATCAACATCTCTCTTACAAACGGAATGGCAGCTGCAATGTTGCACTCCCAGAAGGATGTGTGGCAGATGGGATGTGTAAAAAACACTTTTATTTTTACTTGGAAGGACAGATATATGAAGCCGGTGTTTTGTCTGCATCTATTTGTTAAATAATGCGTACAGATGGGTTAAATATAGGTGATGCGATTGGCCCTGCCTACCCTCTGCTGCCTTGGAACTGTGTGCAATTGGGCCCGAGTTCTTAAGCGAAGCTGCCACCGTGTGGTCACATCTTGCGAAGTGGGGCTCGTGGACTGGAGACAACTTATAGCTCACTCATCTCCCTGATAAACGCCGTATATACAACTACATAAATAATCATTGTAAATGTTGTGGGTTTACTCTCCAACATAGGTTTGCTGAACGAGTAACGAATTGCCATGTTTTTGTTTACGTGACAAACCTTACTAATTGACTGTATTGGGTGGTGGCGGGTTTAACGACATTTATATTTATGCAATCTAATCCAAAAACCTCTATTATGGAACTATTTCCTCTAGGCTGCCCAGTTTCCTTGTGTATATCCACGCACGCCTTGGTGAGCAATTATTTAAAAAAAGTAGTCAGTGATAGCACAGACGATGACATGAGCTAAAGTGAGGGAAACTGTAGGGAGTCCGCACAGCATTTATTAAAATAGCCCTAGGAACTGTCGTCCTGAAGGTCATGGGCCTGAAGCAATGTGCCAACACCATTGGAATCTTGGGTTTAGATCCAGGTTTCATCTGCGATTATGTACGTATGTTGAACTTCTTTTACAACGTACGTAGCCAATCATGCTAATCGCAGGTGTGAAATTGAACTGTTGAGCACAGACAGTCTGACAGAACTCGGCCACCAATGCTTGACAGTTTGTACTCAATTTGGTCAAGAACATTTCTGAAGGGGGAAGTTGACATTGGAAATGACTGCTGATGTAAAACCACATGTACAGCATGGATACGCAACTTACTGTGCAGGGGACTACTCAAGTGACTTGTGAACTCTGAAGCGTCAACTTCCTGGGTCACTCCTGGATTGGAAGACATGATGCTACTGCCACTAGCACGTGTTCCACAGCGTTCAATCCATGCCGTACATCCCTTTTAATATTATAGCGTTTAATGCATATATATTAAAACATTAATTTTAGTAACTGAAACAAAACTCATTTTCAGGAGGGCCAGCAAGTGGCTTGGCCCTAGAATGAGTAGCTCACAATCACAGTTGCAAGTTCAAATCCTAATTGGAGTGGACTCATTCCTACTGGGTCCTTAAAATTTGTTTCACTTTGTGGGAAAATCAAGTGTCCAAAGGATAGATTCACCCTGTTGAATTTTCACCACTGGCTCAGGTCTGTAAACAGGAGCTAATTATCACCAATGCTCATTTGAGCAAGAAATCTTTTTTTTTAATCTGTTGGACATTTCACTAATTCCGTGACGACGTTACATGCGGGAGAAACGGAGAAAATGCACGCATCAGCCCCGCACAGGTGATGTCAGCCAACCACTTGCTGTAGCGCCTCCAAGAGAAACCTTCCTAGCACACAGGGGCTTCTCACACACCTCGCCAGAGCTGTCCCGAGGCTTCTCGGGACAAAGTAATTTATAGGGTTGTTATAGCATCGTTTTTTTGCATTACCGTTAAAAACAACACACTGGGCGCTGGATTTGCAACAGATATAGAATGTCCAGCAATAAAATAAATGTAGCTTTTTTACTAAAAAGCAAAGGGCTCTGCCGTTGTGTAATGCCGAGCACACTGGATTTGCAATCCAGACTGGATTTGCAATCCAGTGTGAGCTATAATCCAGTGTGGTTGCTGGTTCCTTTAAAACATTGGGCAACTTCCTTCAGTTGCCCCATGCCTCTGTCCATCCTGCAGTATAATGGGTCCACCAGTTGACTGACAGGTCACACGCTCGGGGGGGGGGGGGGGGCGGGGAGGTATTTGACCGATTGTTACATCTGACGAGACGTCTTGGAAGAGGTGGCTGTATTCACACATTATGGTGTGAAAGAAGTTCAGCATACATACATGTGGTGGGGTAATGTGTGAATACACCCACCTCTTGAGACGTCTGGTCAGGATGCAAGAGTAGGCCAAATACCCCCTTCCCCCCGAGAGCTTCCTCGAGTGAAGGCCCCTCTGGCAGCAGTGGCTTGAGAGAGCACTTTCGAAGCTACTACCTCTCATTTGAGAAACGAGGGCGAATGTACCATGCGGTGGACTTAGCCCGCCGTGCGGTTTATACATTTGCTCATGCCAATCGATGCATTCATTACTGACATTCCACTGGAAATGGTTACTGGTTCCAGACTCACGGAACCGGTAACCGAATCTTAAAACGGTTACCAGTTAACAACTCTCGCCAGTCATGCTCTAGTTCACGTCGGTTTTTTCTGCGACACTCGTTTTCTCCAGCACAAAAAAAATACCAAAACTAATTTTAACATTCAATGTGGGATCATCCGAATTCTCAAGACCTTGGTGTGACTTGTCCTAAGGAAAACATTAAATACTGGATTATGTTAAATAGCTGATATTTATGTAGTTCCTCATCCATCACGTTACAATTGTCTCTACAAGCTATTTTTTAAATGTGTGCGGACTGTTGGCTCTGCGGCTTGCAATGAAAGCAATAGAAACCTACACTTCACTTGCAAACTCCCTGCCCAGTAAAAGGAGGCAGCCTTATTAGCAATGTATAGTTTTATAATTAGAAAAATAAACACATTATTTAAAAAAAACTTTAACAGCTGTAGGATTCATATTACTTTGTTAAATTGGACATCTGGCCAGGTGGCTCAGTGGTAGAGTGAACGGCTCGATATCATACAGTTGCGAATTCAAATAATAATTATAACTAATAAAGTGTCTTTCATAAAATCTCAAGGCGCTGCACATCCATGACGATGGGGGGGAGGGGGGCAGGGAGGCGTGGGTAAGAATGGCTAAGTTAAAATAGAAAACACCTTCCTGAAACAGAAATGCTTTTAGAGACTTGAAGACCCCAACCCAACCAAACTCTGACACAGCCTTCAGCAGAGCATTCCACAATCCAGGTGCCACAGAAGCGAAGGCCTCAATCCCCCATAATGAATTTGACCTTCATTCTGGGATTGCAGAGGAGATCTGAGTCCACAGACCTCAAGAGTTATTGTTGGAATGTATGGGGGGATGGGCGCAGCAACTTATGATGTTAACGGAGGTACGAGATCATTCAGGGCCTTGAATGTGAGGAGGAACTTGAAATCAACGTGGAGTTTAACTGGCAACCAGCAAAGAGATGCAAGAACAAGGGTGGTATGTTCTGAATGGAGCTTGGGTCAAGACTCTAGCAGTTGCATTCTGAATGGACTGGAGTCAACAAAGTACCTTACTGAAGGTACTATTAAGATAGTAAGGCATTGCAGTAGTTGATGCTTGAGAAAAAAAAGCATGAACTAATTTTTCCGCATCAGTGGCTGAGAGGATGGGATGTAACCGGGCAATGTTCTATCGTATCTGCCCATACTGGACATCTGTAAAAAAAGCTTCATGGCTCATCGGAATCCTCCAATATAAATACATATTCCGATTCTCCCCATTCAACTGGAGGAAATTGTGCTGCATTCAAGCTCTGATGAGTTAAAGTGATTACGAGGGAACAGAGAAGGCATCACTTTGCAGTGTATGTAAATTTGAGTGTCATCATCATAAGAGTGAAAATTGAGATCTATTTAATGGTGGTACCTAATGAGGTTGTGTAGATACAGAAAAGAAGTGGACCCAGGACACATGGGGGATATGGGCTTAGAGCCACCAAGGCTAAGAAATTGCTTTCGATAAACAAGATCTAATCCAGCATAGTGCGATACTATTAACTTCCATAGGATTCTCCAATCGTTGGAAACCAAGACGCCACGAGCACAAACCAGGTTGAGTGTGTGACCAAAAGCTGGTTGGGGAGTTGTCTTGGACCATCATCCCTCTGGGGTCACCAAAATAAGTACCGCTTGGTAGGGACTCAACAGTGGTAGTCCTATGGATAAACATGACTCAAGCAGTTTCTCTACTTGCTTACATTTGTTACATTTAATAAAATCCTTATGTTTACATAATCTTACAATAATGACCTCACTTATCAAAAATATCAGTAATGGGACCATGTCCAGATCTTTCAATGGTGAATGAGCTCCTCATACAATGCAGCCTGGTTAAAACCGGGATGGATTGTAGGCAGGCAAGCCTGAATGTTTCAAGCCAGTGCAGGTGTTCCTTTAAAGGGGACTAACATTTCGAAAGCATAGAGAAAGAACGGCATAACTGTGGCCGAGAAGACCCGGAGCTCCATATTGAGCAATAGGCCAGGCAGCTTTCACAGAGTGGTACTTATGCAGGCGATGAAAAGATAATGCTGCTCGAATGATTGGAAGTGAGACCTCTGCTGCCAAACCGGAGTTGGTCATGAGCACACTGCTGTTATACATATACACAAACATTAACACACGCAAACTGTCCTCAGTCCACTCTGGGGCAGGTTATTGCGCTGGAGTTTGTTGCTGCTGTTGCTGCTGTTGCTGCTGTTGCTCCTGCTGCTGCTGTTGCTGCTGCTGTTGTTGTTGCGTCCTACGCGCATGGGCAGCCGAGCGCAGGTGCCGCGTGAGGCTGTAGGGTTTGGCAAAGCGGCGGCCGCAGGCGGCGCACGCGTACGGCCGCTCCCCTGTGTGCAGCCGTGTGTGCGCCGCCAGATGGGGCTTCTGCCGGAAGCGGCGGCCGCAGGCGGCGCACGCGTACGGCCGCTCGCCCGTGTGCACGCGCCGGTGCCGCGCCGCATTGGCGCCGCGCGCAAACCGCCTCCCGCAGTCCCCGCACGCGTACGGGCGCTCGCCCGTGTGCAGCCGTGCGTGGGCCGCCAGGTGCTGCCGCTGCTTGAAGCGCGCGCCGCACTGCGGGCAGCCGTGGGGCCTCGGCGCGTCGTGCGTGCGCCGGTGACGCGCGAGTCGCGGGGCCTGAGCGAAGCGCTTCCCGCAGCGCTCGCACGCCAGCGGCAGCTGCAGGGGGTCGTCGCCGGCGCCGACGGCCACCGTCGCGTCCTCGCCGACGCCGCCGTCAGAGATGCCCTCCATGGCCTGCGACGCCGCCAGCCCGGCGCAGTCGATGGTCTCGCGCACGACACTCTCCAGAACGTCTTCGCCCATTGTGGCACTGCCCGTCGTGCCCACGATGGTACCGTTGACGGAGCCGGGGTTCAAGCTGAGTCCAGTGACGATGATGGTGCCGTTGGTGTCAACACAGCCATCATCATCGCGGCCACCCTCCTCCTCCTCCTCCTTGGTGGTGGCCGCCCTCTTGCGTTTGCTTCCGTGGGCGCGGCGCGCGCTTTTACTTTCAGAGCCGGTGCTCTGCTGTTGCGCATCCTGAAGCTGCGGCTGCTTCTGTGGCTGTTGCTGCTGCTGCGGCTGCTGGTGGTGATTGTGGTGGTGGTGGTGCTGCTGTAACAAGTACGATGAGAAGACCAACTCCTTCCAGCAGCCCTCACACTTGAACGTCTGGTCAGCTCTCAGTTGCTGCTGCTGTTGCTGCGGCTGCTGAGGCTGTTGTGGGGTGAGATTCCCACATTCGATCTGAGGCACCACCTGCGCCTGGGAAAGGCAACCGCTGCAAGTGGCATTTACGATTCCTTACATTAAAACTGAGCCGTGTTCAACGTCTACCAAGTGGTAGCTAATGGGAGAGAGGCAGCTGAGGCTATTTAACACAAAATGATTAGTCTCGTTGTGGAGAATAGCAGTAACAAAATACATTTCTTATGTTACTTCCGAGACAAACGGCGAACACACTACCACAGGGCCGTGTCACCGTCAATCAAAAAAATAATAATTTTGTATGTACCTGCTGTCCCTCCTGGTGGGGCTGCTGCTGTAGCTGACAGCAGACACTCAGACCGCCGGCCTCACCCACCACAGGAACCCCGGTCGCTCCTGGCGCCCCCGCCACGATGATAGACGCCGCCACCCCATGCTGGGAAGGCACCACCTGCACGCACGTAGTAGTAGTGAGTACAAAGACAAATATCCCCCCTGTTGCCTTAATAGACTGTTGGGACAAGTGCTGTTAGCGAGCACCTATGTATAATACCTAAACATTTATTAAAAATGTAATGATAACAATGAACAAAAATCTTATCATTTAAAATAGTTACATTTCCATAACAATATAAATACCCACTGTACAGCATATTCCCCAGTCACCATCAGCATGCAGTAGAGAGGGAAGATGTGCAAAGCTAGCTTAACTAAATATTTACTACCTTGGTATTTGTTAAATTAAATTAATGTGATAATTAGAGAGCTCTAGCAGAGCACATGAATGACCTGGATAACCAAGAACATGGGTTTGCTAAATTCCAGACAACAGAGAAGTATATTGGGTCAGAATTGGTCGTTTACACACTGAATTTCACACAACAGATACGTGTTTAGCTTCAGTGAAGAGTAGTACTGCTTATTAACTCCACGTGACCATACCCTCTATGACCACTGCCATCACGTGATTTTTCATGTACACCCCCCCTCACAGTGTGCATATGGGTACCAGTGGGTGGGCACCACTGATTCAACTCGTAAGAACACATTTAGCCCTTCTAGCCAGCAAACATCTGGCAATTCACTTGCCCTGGTTCGAGCAGCCGAAGTCAATGAATGTTGAATCCGGTAGTTTTCTTATATTGAACCAATGCAGATGAAATTACAGTCCCAAAAGGCCATGGTGTTTCTACGATTTTTACATGGCTTTCGGGACTAATATGTGAAGGTTGTGTATTGTCCGCTTATTTAATTTGTTATTCTGCACGAAGCTCATGATTCATTTGTGTTAAGTAAAACCAATGATGTTTCGGCACATGATAGCTGGGAATGTGGGGCTTTGTGACCCAACCAACACAACCGTGGAGCTCAATGATGGGCCAAACATGAACACATTAACAACACAAATGACCAGATCTCCACTCAGCTCCACCAAGTGTGGGCCACCTGTACCTGCTGTGTTGGTTGTGCTGTCTGCTGTTGCTGTGCTGGCGGCTGCTGCTGTTGCTGCTGCTGTATGTGCGGCAGTGTAGTCCACTGCAGCTGCAGCGTGGTCACCTTCCCAGTGACGGCACGCTGACCAGACACCGTGTGTGGAGAAATCACAGCCACCGGCTGCTCTGCCGATAGCTGCTGCTGCTGTTGCTGTTGTGGTTGCTGCTGCTGCGTATTCACCTGCTGCTGCTGGGGCAGTGGGAGGTGGAAGTGTCCTGGGAAGAGCTGGGTGAGCGAACGCTCTGGGATCTCCAACCCCCACACGCCTGGGGCAGTGCACATACAGAGGCAGTGAGAGACAGAGACACAGGACACAGAGACAAAGGCAGAGACAGACACAGATATACACGAAGATAAATATCCCCCGTATAGCCTTAACAGACTGTTGGGGCAAGTGCTGTTAACGAGCACCTACGAAGGCCAGCACGACACACAAGGGGGTGAGTGGCCAGCATCTTCTTTAAATAAGCTTTTGCAAAGTAAACCAAGCTTTTTAGATGCCTATTTATCCAGATTAGTAACAAAGCTGTTCCATAACCAGCTCATTTGAGATTGCTGCGCCAAGCAGATTCATGGTTTCACTATGCATATGAATATCAGTTAAATATAGTGGCAGTGACGGTCGAATTGAGTCTTACATATTATCATCGACCAGGGTTTTTAGTAGTGGAATATGATGATGTTTGTTTGAATTGAAGAATGGTGATGTATGATATCTCTGTGTTGCTTGACAGTGTATTATGGTGTAATATACCGATTTAAGTGTAAAGTAGAGCTGCCTGCATAATATTTCATGCAGTACAGTAGTATAACACAGCCCAGCATTGATGCTCTCTGTTGCAATGTATGTCAGTGTTTTTTACTCTCACACACTGCACATATTTCCTTGTCTGTTCACATAATAGTAAGATAATGACCCTAACTAAATTTGACTAAACTTTTTATTTTACCAGGTAAGGCCCACTGAGCTACATAGCTCTTTTTCAGACGTGACCTGGTCACAAATTTTAGCTCTACAAATTGGCTTATCACCTGGAAATTTAGAGCAGCCAAATACTCTAAACATTGAGGTTCCCGTAATTAAAAGTATTTTTGTCCAAGCCAAATTTTGTTACTCGAAATGAATTTCATTTCACATCGATTATGTTTGTGCAATTTTCGATTTACTCTGTAATGCAAGTATTTTTGTACAAATTTTTACGTGACATTATTTGGTCATAAACACAAATAACAAAACACTAAACTTAGTAGTCAATAAGGGAAAATATGTAATTCTGGACAATGGCCTTCTTCCTAGCACATACTGTTGCCTGACTTCATTCATGTGCTTTTTAATTTCTGGTTAGTTAATTTTGCTGAGATTTCTATTTGCTTAAATTAACCTTATGGCAGGAACCCCGGGGTCCCATAAGCCCCCGGCTCTCGCATAAACTGCATTGCGATGTATATTTCTGTCTGTTCAAGGCGAACGATGCAGAAATATATTCCTCTCGACGAGCTCTACACAATGCGCTAATCAAAGTTTAAGCGATTTGTTTCTTCTGCGCATTTGTCCTCGCAGCGCTTAAGGTTCAATTGTTAATGTTATTTCTATAGTCGTTTTGATGACTGTTTGTATGTTGACGTTCATTCACACTGTAAGTAGTCAATCGTGCTCATCGAAGGTTCAGTGTTCTCACCAGGTTACACAAAATTAACTTGAAGAGTGTGGCATAGTGCCATACACTGCTGTAGGATACAGTACTGCTGTTTTGTAGTGGTGTGGTACAGTATGTGGTGTGCATGTGTCAATGTGCGAGACCCAGCGCTGGCTATGCCCACAGCCCACACATGTACCTGCTGTCAGCGGGGGGTTGTCCTGGCAAAAGCTCATGGCTGCTGCTGCTGTGTCAGCGTCCGTGATTGTCCTACACCCAGACAGGTGGGTGAAAAACAACCCAAAATAAGGCCACAGAGATCGGGCAATAGTTGGTGTCTGTAGCCCTGTCCTTCCGTTTGTCTGCGGTTCCCCACTTCAATATGTATATTTAATTTATTTTGCACCGTATGTAGTCAACATGCTAATTGGTAGATGCCTAAACAGTGCGAGTTGCAAATTATACATTTTGAGATACTAGTTACATGAATGATGCTAAAAACAAAAATTATTCAAACGTAAAAAAGAGCAGATAGAGAATAGGGAAAAACTAACCGTGTTAAACGACATGCACTCTCTTGAGGCAGACAAGCTCGTATACGATTTAAGTCATATTGAAAATGTATATAATGTTAATCAGTAGCCCACATAAATCATTCTATAATAAATATTAAATTGTACCTGTTTGGCTAGGTCGGATCGTGGAGAGTTTAAACATTTGGCCAGAACATTCAAAATTAAATACCCTCACCCAAAAATATTTTTTAATCAAAAGGTAGAGAGAACATCTAATTGTCGATTAACAGCCAAGCAAGTTCCACGCAGTGTTACAGAGCTGACAAAATAATTGATTGACTGACAAGGAACATTGATGGAGTGTAACTCCGAATTTAATCATCAGTGTACGCTGATAGAACAGAATGTGACATTTCATGCTGCCCTTGTTCCCTCTTTCAGGTGTAAAAAGAGGAATTACCCTCAATCGACATCCTTCGCACGACGTGTTGTTTAGCTGGAACTGTTTATTCTCTATTTACCATGACAATCAACCCTCCCTCTCTTAACGTGATTAAGGTTTAAGAGGATGCATTTCCCCAAATAGACTACCGCATCAGCGCTATCAGAAGCCGGGGTCGACTTGGCAATGAAACATGATGTTTACTTCTTCCGCATGTTTAAAACATTTGTTCTGCAATTATCAGTTCATGTTCATTTGAATAATTTGGATGTTAATCTCTTCAAATGGGGATAATAAATGTTGATGCTCCAAATACAAACATCCCCTGTATAGCCTTAACAGACTGTAGGAGCAAGTGCTGTTTGCGAACACCTATGAAGGCCAGCACGGCACACGAGGGGTTGGGTGGCCAACACCACGCCCGGCCGCCTTTGTCTCCCGAGTGGCAATGTTTACGCATGCCATCAGGTACTCATTTGAGATTCAGTCGACCTAGGGGTGGCCCAGGACCGGTTCAGATAATCGTCACTGGTATTGGCCGTGAGCGGGAATTTAACCGCGGTCACCCCTACTGCTTCAGTCCCTCACACACAACCAGTTCGCAACTCCTCGGTTCAAGAATTTCATCACGTTTGTGGGGCTCAAAGAGGGATACTTCAATCACAGGCCCGAGTCACATCTGACACCATCCTTTCCTGATTAAAAATGGACATCTTAAAATAAAACTAGAAGTGGTGGACAGTGTGGATGTAATGAGGCAAAATGTATTTGTGCCTATTGTGAGCTGAGTCTGTGTTTACAACACTTCTATCTTAATTTCCACTATTTTACCTCATTATTTTGAAATTGTAATAAACCAGCCCATGTAAAATTTCACCAATCATGTTCTATCACGACGTGCTCTTGATGTCCAATTTTTGGGCGAAATCGTCACACTCCGTGAATGTTCCATGCTTGTCAAGAGACCCCTGCTGCCAAAACTGGCACTGGCCATGAGCACACTGTCCAGCGATGAGCATTCTTCAACCTTCCCATGTAATAGAAATGTCTAGCAATACATTATTACCTTCTTAACTGATAAATTAAGGGAGCTGCCATCGTGCTGTAATGGTTTGCATATTGGGCTTGCAATTTAAATAAAGAAGGCGGGTCCCTTAATTGTTATCTGTCCACCCAGCAGTATAAATGGCTACACCACAGTCGATCAGCAGGTCGCATGTGTGGTGGGGTAAAGTGTGGGTACACTCATCTCTTACAAGGTGTTGTTGGGTTAGCTGCGGAAGTCAACAGAATACCCGGAGGAGCTCCCTCTAGTGGAAGCGCTTCCGCCAGCAGTGCCATGTGCGAACAATCGCTGGGCTTCACTCTTCCAATTTAACTGAGAAACGAGGACAAATGTACGACGCGGTGACTTAAAAATGCGCCTTTAAGTTTATATATTTGCGTGTGCCAATCCGTGCATTCATCACAGATATTCTTCAGGAATCGGTTACCGGTTCCAGATGTTCAGAACCATTAACCAAATTTGAAAACTGTTACCGGTTTACTGGTAACCATTTAACAACCCTACTCATTCTTCATGGACAGAAGGGGTGGATAGTGAATTTGATACAAGGTACTGGAGCAGGTGTTTTTGTGGGTTGTTGAAAATTACAAACCCATGCGGCTGCACAGAAATCTATGAGCATGATACTGTTATCGTTCAGGTGATCTGGCCCATCCATACCTTCTAATCATCACTCCTGTTTGTTACCATCATAACCCACGAGGGCATTGACGTTCAATAATATTACCGATCTTGTTTTGTTCTCAATACAGTACATAACTGGTCAGGTGACCCAGCGGTTGAGCTTAGCGGCTCGCTATTAATTTCTGGTTGGAAAGTGACTGAGCCCATCATACCTACGGGGTCAATACAATTATTACCACCTTGTGGGGGAAGTCAACAGCGGTTGTCCTATGAAGATACTCGCCATATGAATGCGGAATTTCCACCACTGGCTCACGACTTTAAACGGGAAATGAGCAGACGCCTGAACGTTCATGTGAGCAGCAAAACTTGCGTGAACATGCATATAGACACACATCTACCATCACCCCAACAGCAATCGCTGTTCACAAGTAAGTGGCGGTGACGTCGCCACGGCGCTTGTGCCATGCTAGGTGCACTCCGAAGCCATGTTAAGTGGAAGGCCCGCTGGGCAGGTCACATGACAGACCGAGGTGTCATGGGTTGACCGACTGGAATGAGTGAGGGTAGAGTCAGATGTCACTGACCCTACTACCATCGTCACTTAGGTATAGCTTCACCCTCACAATTACTCTCACCCCTCTACCATCATCACACTCACCACTACCGTCACCATCACTCCCCCCTATCCACCCCAGCACACCGCTACCCTCACAATCACTCAACCCCAATCCTCACCATTTTACTCACCCCTATCTTGACCATCACTCTCAACCATATCCTCACCATCACTCACCCCTACCATCACACTCACCCCCTACCGTCACCATGCCACTCACCCCTACCCTCACTCAAACCTTCCGTCACCATCACAATCACCGCTAAATTCACTATCACCCGTTACCCTCACCATGACACTCACTCCCTTACCCTCATCGCTGCACTCACTCACCCTTGATCTCCGCCGCTGCTAGTGCGCGACCTCAAATGCAGCTCTCCTAGCACCCAACCATCGCTATCACCGCTGCCGTTGTTGCTGCCGTTGTTGCTGTCGCCGCTGCTGCCGTTGTTGCTGTCTCCGCTGCTGCCGTTGTTGCTGTCTCCGCTGCTGCTGCTGTTGTTGCTGTCTCCGCTGCTGCTGTTGTTGCTGTCTCTGCTGCTGCTGTTGTTGCTGTCTCCGCTGCTGCTGTTGTTGATATCCCCTCCGCCTCCTCCTCTGCTCTCCTCACAAACAAAATGGCTGCCTCACCCAACCATTCTCAGAGCCCGCGTAAAGCTCCCTCCCGATAGGTTGAGCTACGGCGCGGATCTCCCTTCTGATTGGCTGAGCACTGCAAGGTCCACCGCCCACTGCAGGAGTTGTTTGGCTCTGCCTATCAAGGTTCAGCTTGACATAAGCCAAACATAACCCCGCCCTTTCCCGTCTTCGGATTGGCTGGATCGCGCATAGCCCCGCCTGATTTGTGACACGATTGGCAGTAATGACGGCTAGGGCCGGCGCGTGATTGACAGCTGTCATCGGAGCCGATCTCAACGACAGCGAACCTCACGCAGCCAGAATCTCCCGGAAGCCGGAATTCGGAGGAAAAGTTGGAAATGCTACCGAAATAGATATGTAGTCATTTCTAAAACTTTCTCCTAAAAATATCATCAAGCAAAAAAGATTAGTGCCAGATGTGATTTTATAACTTTGAACCTTAGGGGCCGTCCATAAATGACGTCACGCAATTTTGGACGATTTTTGACCCCCCCCCCTTGTCACACGGCGTCACAAAAAGTCAGACCCCCCCTCAAATATGACGTCACAAAGCTCTGCCCCCCCCCCCCCCCAAAAAAAAACATGTTTCAAATCATATTCTTGGTTATTTCGGTAAAGTCACGTAGAAGGGAAACAATAAAATAAAAAAAATATCTTATATATAAAAGTGTCCGCGCGCGCGCTTGCGAGGGATTTGGCTCTCGGACGGTGGGCTTGACGTCCAAAAAAAATTGCCAGGCAGCACGCCCCAAGTCCCGGGGTGGGAATAGGCTATTCCGTTTTCGCATCCCTCAACTTTAAAGTACTTTAATTAACAAATTTGTGACATTCTTATTTTAATTATTTACTTATTGCGTCACATCGACCGTACCAATTGACGACAATTGCGTGGGGGGCGGACCCTGCCAAGTGATGCGCGTTCGGTCGAGCTCACGGGGGACATTTCATTTTACGCGTTTAACATGCAATAAATGTACACATCACGCTGCGGATTTTTCTTCACAGTCTCATGTCCTCTTCGCCCCCCCCCCCCCCCAAAAAAAACATGTCCAGTTTCTACAACAGAGTCCGTAGATAATAATATAGTGCTTAAATACCATTATTATTGCACGGGCGGGGGGATGGGTGTGGGGGTAGTGGCCCTGCCTGCCAACGTGCCACCTCCCCCGCCTGGGCAAAGTAGGCGAGGCCGGGGGCTCCGCACCGGCCTAGGCCTGACCAAGCCTATGGTAAGTAGAAATTTCCTTGCTTCTTACGCTACGAACTCAGGTTCATTGTTCACTATTATTAAACATACGTTGCCAAATATTACAATAATAATTTTTTGTGTGCACATAGGAACTCTGGTTCATTGCTTACTATTATGAAACAAATACGTTGCCACATTACAATAATTATGTTTGTGTGCAGATAAGAACTCGGGTTCATTGTTTACTATTATGAAACAAATACGTTGCCAGATATTACAATGTTTGTGTGCACAAAGCAACATTTTCATTATTAGCTTGATAAATATTCCCCTTTTTTAGCTGTGCTTTCATCACGCTGCGACGGTGTATTGCCAGTCATGTGCTCTGCTGCCTGCTGATTAATTAACGTCAGTGCACTGCCACTCTATTATCTACACTGCTAGTTTTCCTTTTGACCATTCTGAGTATGTGTAGTGTTCGACTTTACGCGGACAACTTCTGTCTTCGAACACCGCTTTATTTACAACATTCAACATGTCCTCCACACTCCACAGTTTCCTGGTCACCACGGCTCGCTCGCCGTGCTCCGCTCGTCTCGCGCCACCACCTTTGTCTCCTCACTTCACTTGCTTCGCACTCAGCGACTCCCCGTTCAGCAACTCCGCACACAGCGTCTTCAGCTCCGCTATCGCTACGCTCACTCCACTGCTAACTACTTTGTCTTGCTTCAGCTCCGCTTTCGCTACGCTCACTCCACTGCTAACTACTTCGTCTTGCTTCACACTCTGTTCCAACTCCGTTTCCCACTCTGTCTCCAAACTCTGTTTCCAAACTCTGTTTCCAACTCCACGTCTTCCTCGTCCAGCTCCCAACTCCAACTCCCCACTGAAATTTCACACCCTTACCGGTGAGCGTGTGCAATGGCCTCGCAATCGTGGCAAAATCCTTAACAGATCGTCGGTAATACAACGCGAAGCCCACGAAGCTACGCACCTCCCCTACTGTTTTCGGTACCGGCCACGTTCGCACGCAACTCGTCTTCTCTGGATCAGTGGCCACCCCAGACGTGCTAACAACGTGCCCCAAATATTTAATCGACGTCCTTAACAAATGGCACTTTTGGGGTTTAAATTTCAATCCAGCGCGCCGCACTCGGCCAAAAACGGCGCACAACCGTTGCAAATGTTCGTCAAAATCCTTACTGAAAACAATGATGTCCAGATATATTAAGCACGACTCCCACTGCAGTCCTGACAACACGAGTTCCATCAATGGTTGGAAGGTGGCCTGCGCGGAGTGGAGCCCCATTCTCATTATCGCAAATTAATTGGCCCGCATGCCTCCGCACACTTCGCGTCCTCAAACACCTGCCTTTCTCCAGACATCTTGACGCCTCCTCGCCCTTGACAACAGCCACAGACAATCACCGCCGTTGCTGATCCTCTGGCTTAATTGGCCCAACCGTTACCTCATCATCCCAGCCTTTGCACCTGGCTGTCCTAACACGACCCACACTGTTTTCGCCTTCTCCACAGGCTGACCCCAGATAACCCACAGTGTCCGTGTGATCATGCAGTCGCGCAGTTTCCACAACACACTTTCATACTCCACTACATATGCCAGTCTATAATCTGTTGCCTGCTTCTTTACCTCACTCAGTGTACTCCCAGCCTTTCATGTCGACTGTATTCTGCTTTTTCAGCAGCTGCCTGTATTGGCAGCTTTTTATGTCAACTGTAGCAATGCTTATGTCATTGAGTCGGTGTACTGGCAGTCTATAATCTAAACTGTAGCCTGCTTCTCAACTTACCTGTGCGTACTGCTGCTCTTTAATTTACACTGCTTTCTGCTTATTTCTTCAATGCATTTCCATTGTTTCCATTGCTCATGTCACGCTATTTACTCATACGGAGTACTGCGATACTGAGAGCTGTGCCATCATCGGGGATTGCTGTGCACGTCGATGTGTGTGTTGTGTGCGAGTCGATGTGTGTGTGTGTGTTTGAGTCCATATGTGTGCGCGTGTAGGTCCATGCGTGTGTTTGAGTCCATGTGTGTGTCTGTCTTTTACGATTGGACAACGCCCGATGTGTGTGTGTACGTCCAAGTGTTTGTGTGTCAGTCCAAGTGTGCGTGTCAGTCCATTTGTGTGTATCAGTCGCTCTGTGTGTGTTAGTCCATGTGTGTGTGTACGTCGATGTGCGTGTGTCAGTCCATATGTGTGTTTGTTAGTCCACGTGTGTGTAAGTCCATACATGTGTGTGTCACTCGATGTGTGTGTAAGTCAATGCGTGTGCGTGTCGATATGTGTGTTAATCCATGTGTGTGTATCTAAAGTAGATGTCTGTGTGACACAGTCCATATGTGTATGTGTGTGTAGGGCAATGTGTGTGTCAGTCTATGTATGTGTGTGTAAGTCCATGTGTGTGTGTCTTAATCGATATGTGTGTGTGCAAGTACATATGTCTGTTTACGTCAATCTGTCTGTGAGTCCCCGTATATCTGTGTGTGAGTCGATGTGTGTGTGTGTCGCTGTATGTGTCTACGTCCATATATGTGTGCGTAACTCTGTGTGTGTATCTAAAGTGGATGTCTATGCGTGTGTGAGTCCATTTGTGGGTGTGTGTGTGCAAGTCCATGTGTTTGTGTGTGCGAGTCGATATCTCTGTGTGTGTCAGTCCATGGGCGTGTGTGTTAGTCGCTTTGTGTCCGTGGCTCCATGTGAGTCCATGTAAGTCCATTTCTTTGCGTGTCTGTAGGTCCATGTGTGCGTGTGAGTGAATGTGTGTGCTTTATTGACCTGGTCAAGGCCTATGATACCATCAGTAGGCCTGGCCTCTGGGTTGTTCTTCATACTTTCGGAGTCCCTCACCCTTTGCTCACGATCCCTAAGGACCTTCATTATGGTGAGCGGCCCCCGCGTCAAACTACGTGGGCGTCAGTCAGCCGTTCCTCTACACCTTGGGGTGCAACAGGGATGTCCTCTGGCTCCCACATTTTTTAACATATATTTTGACCACGTAGTTAGTGAAGACTTCAATGGCTGTACCGGAGGAATTACCATATGGTACATATACAATGGGAGGCTGATCGATGCCCGGGTACGGTCAAGGGATGGCTCCCTATTGATCAACCATGTAATGTATGCCGATGCTCTGGTGAATCCTGCTCACTCAGAGGAGGACTTGGAGGCACTGCTGCTGAACCTGGAGTTTGGCACTAAGAGGTGGGGCCTTACCATCAGCCCCATCAAATCTAAGCATCTGGCTGGGTATTTTGTACCATCGGACAATCCACCCCCACAACTCACAATTTCTGATGCGGCAGTTGTGGAGACATTGGAGAGATTCCCATACCTGGCCAGTTTGCTCATGACCAGCTCCGGTTTAACACCAGAGGTCTCACTCCAAATCAGTTGAGCGCCATTATCTTTTCATCGGCTGTGTTACGCTGTGTGGAAGCTACCTAGTCTCTCGCTCCGCATGAAGCTCCAGGTCTTCTCGGCCACGGTAATCCCCTACCTTCTGTACGCTTGCGAAACGTGCACCACCTAATGGAACATCTTCGCCGGTTGGAACATTTAGGCTGGCTTGCTAACGATCCACCCTGGGTTTAACCATATGTGTGTGTGTGTGCGTCTAAGTCGATGTGTTTCTATGTGTGTGGGTCAATGTCTGTGTGTAAGTCCATGTGAGTGTCTGCCTTTTTCGCCCGGGCAACGCCGGGTACTTCCCGCTAGTCTTATATATAAAAGTCTCCACGCGTGCGCTTGCGAGGGATTTGGCTCTCGGACGGTGTGCTTGACGTCCATATTTTTTTGCCAGGCAGCACGCCCTAATCAACGCGGTGGGAATAGGC